CTGGATTAACTAGGGTATATCTGTGGTGGAGAGAGAGCCTCAGACTTGTGAGGCGTATTCATCAGTTTGTAACAGTTTTCCACTAAAAGAGAGTAGGTCAGATAACGTCGGCAAAAGTTAGTCCTAGAAGGTGAGAAAAAGTTGTGGTTTGGAGGAGCTCAGGAAGGATTCCGGGTAGGGGTAGTGATTCATTGTTTTTGACAGCATGTTAAACCTGAAGGGAGAAAGGCAAGTTCGGAGGTTTCTGAAACAGGAATAGGTATTTGAAATAGAAATGATATAGATGTGAATGAGGAAAAGCAGAGCTTATTTTAGCCATCCTAAACTTATGCAGAAGATACACTGAAGATATTCATCCAGGAAGAAATGACAGAGGTGATCTGAAATGCAAGAATGGATGTGGGCTTATAAGTGTATAAAATAGTTTGAAGATGCCAGTATTTCTCTGCCTTCCAGGACTGTTGTCAGGTGTAAAGTGCTAGGAGGCCAATGAGTCTAGGGTAGGGTGCAGATTTTAAAAGGACCTTTATTTTAAAGGATTTTAAAGGCATCTTTATTCCACAAAAATCAGAGATCTAAAAGGATCACAGTTAAAGTGCTCTTTAACGTTTCTGCTAGCTGACACATGTATAAGGACAGTGAATAGTGACAGCCAGACAGCATATGAGGGAAGGAAGGAAGGAAGAAGGTGATCAACAAAATATAGCAGATAATAGCAGTCACATGAACTGGTGTAAGTATAATTAATGTAAGATGTTGCTCAGTTAGAAACCCAAGAAAACATTGGGGACAGCAAAGCTATAGACAAAGTAGCAATAAATCGTTACTTAATTAACAAAACTTCTGTTTTTCTCTCTTCAGGTCTATCTTACAACAGCTGTTTTTGAGCCTGACTTTTCCTCGTTTCCTGGAAGCAGGTGAATGCATGGTTTATTTGGGGGGCAACTTAAGGTAAAAGGTATAACTCCAGGCACACAGCCAAATTCTTCCCTCTTCTTTGTATCACTAAATTGGCACTGCCTTTGTTTTCCTTCTCTGTCTCTCAGTGGACATGGATGACGATGATTTGACTGCTGCCCTGTCAAAGCAGAACTGCATTACTGAGCAAACTCAGTATTTCTTTGAAAATGATGATAAATCCTTCTTTGGGATCGTAGACTGTATTAACTGTTCCAGGTAATTTTTTTTTTCACTATGCAAAACAGTTCTTGTCCATATTAATTGTAGAAAAGGCAATTACATGGTAAATTCATCCACGTATTAGCTACGTCACACATAGTGGAAAGGTTAAGTAGTATTTAGTGTTGCACAACACTACAGCATGTATAGTTAAGTGTATGTTTACATGGATGTGCTTAGGATTCTTGCTTGAAACAGCATTATACTATCTGTAATTACTTAATTTACAGTATTTACTCTCACAGCACATATCCTTTGCCTAAAAAATTTATCATCCCAAATTGAAATGTGTCTTTTAAGCAGGGCAGCTAATTTCTGCACTGGAGTGGCTACCAGGAGCTGGCTCTGTGCTGGGCTCAGCAGCATGCAGGAGGGGGAGAGTCCATTTCTCAGCATCACGCACCCTCTCCTTGCAGTTCTGATGCTCAAGCCTTAACCCCGTCAAAACCACTGCTCCAATTCAGCTACTCTGCCAAAAGCTGCTACCAACTTGGCAGTAGCTGTGACAGTGTTAAGACTGGAGCGACAGAGTTACAAGGAGAGAGTGAGTGCTGTTGAAGAGTAGACTGTCCCTCCTTCTCTCTCATTCTGCTTCCCAAAACAAGGTAGTTATTTCATTTGGGGGTGGCGGGTATGCACTAACATGCAGTATTAAAAATTTCTGAGTTGCATTTTTATGTTTTATGGAACTATCTTGTATATATTTTAAGACATTTTATTTCTAAAGGTGTTTATGCATTTTCTAAAATTCATTTATTGAACTTTTGGGATTCTATCTCAAATATTTCTAACTGAGATACTGTTCCCGTTTGTCCCATTATCAAATTAAGAGTCAGGACATGTTCAAAGTACTGATGAGTTTCTTCACATTTTCCCTTGTCCAGTAATTCTGCTGATTTAATTCTTATGTAATATGTGTAATTCAATTTTAGTCAACTTCTCAATATAATGGAGCAGCTGGGTCAAATTTAGACTATGAATAGGCAAAAGTAATCTTGCTGAGATGAATGAAGTTATCTCCATTTAAAACAAAGGCTAACTTCTGCCTTTTTGCTTTTAGATGGGTAGAAAAGATTGACAGGGTAATATAGATATAATTTTCTAAATTCAAAACAAGAACAAACATCCTGAAATCATTCTTTTCATTGCTGAGAAATGTTTTGCGTTACTTTTACACCTTTCTTGAATATAGCTATTTTAGCTTTGCATCTATCTATATGTAAATCTAACTGCCTTTGCATTTGAAATACCAAAAATAACCATTGGTTGTAGAGAAATACTCTTAACTCTGGTGTCTAAGATGGGAAATATCATACCTAAGAGAGATAATGGATCATCAGATATATTTTAGGCGTGCAAGGAGACTAAGTGAACAAAGAAGTAGACGTTTCCTTTAGCTGTAACAGGCTCTCTTTTCCAACTTTTTTCAGTGTAGTATGCTTTTCCACCCTGTCTTGGCAATAAAATTGTGGCTGAACTGGTTTCCCTTCTCAGCAGAGCTACTGAGTTAACCATATGCTTTTGGTTACATGTTAATGTAAAGTCAACCTGTGCCCTTTTTTTGCATTTTTTCATCCCTGCTTTTACTCTAAAGGAAGCAATGCACCTGTCAAAAGGATTGCAAAATTTCCCTTAGCCATCCTTTGCTGGTCATATAAGAAATGTTTTCTCTGCAATAGCAGCTGAATTTAATCTATGTATTTCTAAGAGTTTCTTATGATTTCATGAATAAGTGCAAACCCCCTCTCCTCATTTCATGTAA